TGTAGAAACCGTTACGGTGAATGTCGAAAATGGTCTGACAGTTGTCCAATATTCAGTTGTCCAATATTTCACGGTTTCGACACTGGTGTGGCGAGGCCCTAAATCAGGTTGAGTTCTCAGTCAGAATCATCATAGCGGACATTCATAATTAATTAACAATGCTTATCAGGGTTAAGGACCCTCAATCTCTCTCCTTTTTTTTTTGTGGGGGGGGGGGGGGGGGGGGGGGGGGGGATTTTTGGATTTTTGGAGAGGGAGACACTTGGGAGGATCCTCAATCTCATGACATTTCCAGAGGCTTCAAAATAAAAAAAAAGCTCTCAACATACATGTCACTGCTGTCAGGCTGTCAGAAAACATAAGCTCGATAAGGAAGCTCAATAAGTCGATGATCAGGACCATGGTAACCGCCCGGACGTCCGGACCATGGTAACCGCCCGGACGTCCGGACCGGGTTCCAGACAGTCCGGTGTCTGGTGGCCGGTGTCTGGACAATATGTCTGGATTGAGGCCTCTGGGGCAAAAATCAAAAAAACAATTGATTTTTCAATGTCGTTTAACCCCACCGGACAGGGCCTAGAGGTCCAGACACAAGACACTGCAGGTTTTTGGGGTGGCGGGTTTCGCACAGGCCTGAGCAATTTCAAAGCGGCCGTTTCGACGTGGAGCCAGCTGCTGCTGCCCGTTGGGGAGAGAGAGAGAGAGAGAGAGAGAGAGAGAGAGAGAGAGAGAGAGAGAGAGCACTGACAGTGCTGCCAGTCTGAAGACTCTGACGTTCTGAATTGAACTGCAAAGTTTCAACTCTTAAGTTATATATGAAGTTATGAACTTAAGACTCTGACGTTCTGAATTGAACTGTGAAGTTCGAACTTTTAAGTTATATATGAACTCATGAACTTAAGTTACTAAATCCAAAGTTCAAAGTCCAAAGTTAATCATACTTTTTTCAAAAAAAGATTCTCTGTTTCTTTAGTCTTGTGCCTGCTTTGCACTGTTTGCAACTCTGCATGTCTGCTAGTTAAATGTGGTGGTTGATTTGCTGCAAGACATGTGCTCTCCTGTGTGAAGTACAGAGTGCAAAGCAGGTAAGTGCCTGCCAACACCCCAACCCAACCCCTCCCCCACCCCCGGTGTTTTTTTTTTTTTTTTTTTTTTTTTTTAGGTCAGGACATTGTTTGCACCCCGGGGACCGGTCCGGACTGTCCGGTGTCCGGTTCTGTCCGGGGTCCGGTGATGTCCGGATCACCGGACAGTCCGGACCGGTCCAGACACTGGTCCGGAAGACAGTCCGGAAGACAGTCCGGAAGTGTCCGGTGTCCGGGTCCGCGGTTACCATGATCAGGACATATTATAATCTACAATAATAACTTCCATAACAATCTCGAATTATTTCCGGGCGCAGGTCACCTAGCTGTGGATATATCTCAAGCATGAGCCCAAAAGAACACATCTCATACTGAAGAAAAGAGAACAGACAAAACGCAGACCCAACTAAAATCAGCAAAAATAAAGAAATAAGTGCTGAATACAAGAAAGGTGAATGGGAAAAAAAGAAAAGTGAGCTAGGGTGGCCATGGCCCAACCAGTCGCACGGCCAGAGGGCTGTGTGGCCGGGGGGCCTGATACTACCGTCTTCCCCCGAACATAACGCACCCTGCAAATGAACGTATACAAGGTGTGTTTCCGGCCCTATACAGGCGAAATGGGGGTGCGTTGTGTTGGGGGGAAGACGGTACGTGTCAGAGAGGCCCCGTGCAGTCTCCTTATAATGCTTTTCTCTTTTTTTTTTTCTTTTTTTTTCTTTTTTTTCCCTCCGCAGGATTTTACCTAGTAGATGTATCTACTATGATCCACAGTTGACTGCCCCCAGGGCCGAGGTCCCACTAGCGAAAAGGATAGGATCGAGCTCCTGAATCTGGTCGTGCTTTAAGCACAGATGCAGAAAAGCGGTTCATTGACAATCTTTATTTGCTGCACATCTCCATAAACTCGTCCAAATGCATGCATTCTATCCGATCCTCTTTGCTAGTGGGACCACGCCCCAGGTAATTCCACATTATCATAGATGATATGGAAGTTGTGAAAAAAAAAAAAAAAAAAAAAAAAGTTGTGGTAGATTTTATGTCCTGATTATTGGTTATCAAGCTCCTGTTTTGACATCCTGGGGCGAGGTCCCACAAAAAACAAGGATTGGATTGAACGCATGAATCTGGACGAGTTTATGGAGATGTGCAGAAATTCGAGATTGAACTGCTTTTCTGCATCTCTGCTTACAACACGTCCAGATTCAGGAGCTCTATCCAATCCTCTTTGCTGAATGGACCTCGCCACATTGCATCCGACCCCCGACGGGCTGGCTACGGGTAAGCGAGGCAACTACAAGGTAGTACTGTTTAGAGGGCCACGTCCAAGGCTAGTGGACATTTGTTTTTATTTTTTGAACCAAAAATTGAAACCGACTAAATTGGCCCGATTCATGTCGAAATTTGTAGCTTTTGAGCGTTCAGCCTTCTTAAAATGCCGAACCCCCTGGATCATGTATCTGGACTTCTCTGGAGTCCGTGGGGGAGTACAGCGTTTTAGGAACTCCCCCCCCCCTGGTCAAGAGAGAGTCCAAATGCATGCGGACTGTTGTGTGGTAGAGCATTGCAAGGACCGATCTACCTTTTGCACGGTATGGCACCAGAAGTTACTGCAATTTTAAAACTTTAAAAGGCAATGGATCTCGTTCTAGTATGCGCTCTGCCATCCTGATGACACTTGTAGGCCCCTCCAAATTGGTTTGGAAGGTTGGAATTAAAATGGGGCAAAAACGAAAACAAAAAACGATGAGAGAATCCACATTACTAAATTATCTTTTGCTGCACCTCGCGCATCACTCCGCCTGCCTGCTGTTTGGTGAGTTGATTCATGGCTCCACAGTGACTACTCACCACAGCCGCTGTGTCAGGACTCAGAACTTGAGTCAGAAGAGTCAGAAGAGTCAGAAGAGTCAGAAGAGTCAGAAGTCTTTGTTTGTCCCCATTTTTTTAAATCCATAATTGCAAAGTTGCCATCATTATCTTTTCACAATGCATCTGGGGCGTGGTCCGGCTAGCAAAGAGGATCGGATCGAATGCATGAATCTGGACGAGGTTATGGAGATGTGCAGGAAATCGAGATTGAACTGCTTTTCTGCATCTCTGGGTAAAACACATCCAGATTCAGGTGTTCTATCCGATCCTCTTTGCTAGTGGGACCTCAGCCCTGGATTCTGTATTATGGAAAAAAAAAAAAAAAAAAAGGCCATTCCAAAGTTTCAAACCAATTTGGAGGGGCCTACAAGTGTCATCACCATGGAAGAGCGCATAGAAACGAAATCGGTTGCCTTTTAAATCTGTAAAATTGCGGTAACTTCTGGTACCATACCATGCAAAGGGTAGATTGGTCCTTGCAGTGCTCGACTACACAACACTTGACATTCATTTGGACTCTTTATGGACCAGGTGCATTTGAGAGGGGCTAACAGTGTCAAACTTATCCGGTCCAGAAAGAGTCCCAACTGCATGCAGACATTGCAGAGTATTGCGCAGTCCAGCGAGGCCCATTATCTCGTGACCGTTTTCACTCAACTTAGTTGTGTACAGGCGTAATGGCAGAACATAATCTGATTCTACCAGTGCCATCAGCTTGAGGCCGGCCGGTCATTTGGCCCTGCGCCCGTGAACCGGCAGACCACGAAAGAGTGGTGTTTTTTCTTTTCTTTTTGGGGCTCACCCAGCTACAGTAGCCTCAAGCACCACAGAGTGATGACATTGGGCCTCGTTAGACACTCCTTGTGGACCCGAAATCCACAAGGAAATGATCGTTCCACCTGTCCTTGGGGACGATTCTCGAAAAAAAAAGTGAAAACACCACAAGGAAATTTCCTTGTGACATCCTTGTGGCCAGAGCCATTTTTTCCTAACCCCCAAGGGACCTCCCGGGCTCCCTTGGAGCACAAGGAAGCGCGAAATTCGGAGCGGCGAAGGCATGCGTCGACGCACAATTTCGGTTCGAGGTTGGTCCAGATGTGGTCCAGCGAACGGGAGCACGGACATCCCTGCCTCCAAAATGTGCACGGCGCCCCAACGGCTACAAACGGTCACCGTCCGCGTGAGGCCTCCGTCCGTCTACGTGATTTGCCAGCTGGCGCCCTGCGGTCTGCTGCAGCGGGCGATCGTCCACAACGGTCCGAAATTCGAATGCTTTTCCCAGCCGCCGCTGCTTTCGATGATGACAGTTTGATTGCAGAAGTTCGTCGTTTTCTTCGTTTGTCGTCACGCCTCGCACGTTGGTGTACAGATCTTCCACCGATCTTTCTTCTGTCGACGGACTTGTTTGTTGGACGTTCGACCGTTGACGTCGGCTTGTTGCCCTTTCAACGGCCCTTACATGGCCGACCTGCTGCAAAGGCTGCCTCTGCTGCTCCTCGTCGTCGTGCTGCTTCTCATTGTTGTCTTCTTCCACGTGTATTTCGTCGGCCTCGTCCCAGTCGCGGCTCGCAGAAGGAGATCTTCGAAGAAAGCCGATAGGATGGATCGACGACTGGCCAATGGCAGACCGGCAGCCACAACCTCCGGAGCGAGCAATCGGCAACGCACTGCGGGCTCTGTGGCGAAGCAGCCGTACGACCCGAGGTTGTATGCTTACCTGCCTTCCCACGAGATTCCCCTGCCGTCGTCGGATGACGAGGGGGAAGACGTCAGGTCGTCGACTTTGCTGTTGGGAAGTGGTTCGACGCAAGAATGGGCGACGACGCAGTCGTATGTTGGCAGGCGGGCGGAGACCCGGTGGTCTTACACCTCACTGCTGAACGAGGGGCTGTGCAACGACGACGACACTGTAGCGGTTGATCTCAGCTTCCAGTTGTCCAGCAGCAGCGGAGCAGCGGCAACGCACACTCATATCATCAATCCCCACCCAGGTGGGGATTGCGCGGACAACGTGCACGTTGGTCCGTGCAGGGCGTGACACGGCGGTGTATCTCAATCGCTTCGCGAAGGTGGGGGGAATCGAAATGTGTCGTCGACGAACGTCGGAGGAGGACACGGTGCAGATGAACGTCCAGAGTGGATGCGCTTGTCACCTGCGTCGCGACAGCGATCCGGGACTCCTCGAGGACGGCAGCGACCGGAGGATTCACGTGAGGGAGGTGCGGACGTGCAACGCAACCGCAGGCAAATGTGGGCAGAGTGAATCAAGGTGGAACGGAGACAATCACGAGAGGGATGCAACAGCTCCACGTGATCGGACCCGCGGACGCGTCCACCATTCGAGATTGGACTCGCGGACGCGTCCGCCATCCGAGATCGGACCCGCGGATGCGTCTGCGGGTTTTTCACAGCCCTGATGGACTTAACCATCTAGCCCCAACTCCCACCCCACAACAGGTGGCATGGGCCCGTTGGTCCTGGTTTTTGCTGGTGGGTGATCAAAATGACTTTGCCGAGGCCATGTGTCGGCTCCACGTGATCCGACCCACGGACGGGTCCGCCATTCGAGATCGGACCCGCGGACGTGTCCACGGGTGTTTCATAGCCTGATGGGTGTGCCAATCTAGCCCCAACCCCCACCCCACAACAGGTGGCATGGGTCCACTGGTCGTGGTTCCTGCTAGTGGGTGATCAAAATGACTTTGCAGACGCCATGTGCCAGCTATGGGAACAACTATGCTTACTATCCTCACAGAGAGGCACAACCACTTTGTGGTTGTTATCCCTTTTAGGCTTCTACCAGGCTTCTAGTCACCCCCTCGGCTATGTGGCTTGTTAGCAGAGGAATGGGGTTGCGGCTCTCCTTTACCACATCTTCTTGGCTCTTTGAGTCTACCACTTATGGTGGGACTGCCCAGCCTCCAAGAGAATCTGGAAATGGTTCAGCTGGCAATAACGTTGCAGAATGAAAGTTTGAATGGTATAAGGAGCGAACTCTTTTGGCCTTTGTTCCTAGAAACAGATCTATTACATCTGGGTGAGGTTATGTTGCACAGGTGTGTAGGCCAATCATCATGATGCTGATCTAGATGCTTAGGACTAGGTTGTTTTTTTAAAAGATAGGTATGTCTGTGGAAACAAAAAGGTTGATAGGATCCCACCTCCGCCATCGCATTATGGAAGACTAGTCAAGGAAGAGGCTGAAAGGGGGAAAGTCTGAACAGAGATGGTTTAAAAAGACTTGGTCTTAGTGTAGAAGCACATGCTGCTAACTTGCGAGGGTGGAATCTAGAAAGAAGTTGAAGGTTTGTTCGTAGTTAGCAGCGGTAGTGTAATTACCAGGGCACTCGGTTTTATTGTCGCAGTAGACAGGCAGTGGGTGGAAGACTGGTTTTGGAAATGGTTGGAAAATTATGGCCTGAGTGGAAGGTCTTGGAGGAGAAAATCGCATAGAAAAGGAGGAACTGAAGAGGGAGAAGGCGGAGCATATGAAGAAGGAAGAAGAGTTAGTGGATGAGCGGAAGGAGTTGGAAGAGCATTTGACTCAGCGAGAGGAGGGACAATAGGAGGGAGGCGGAGCATGAGAAAAAAGAACAAGGGCTAATGGATGAGTGGGAATATCTGCGGGAGCATTTTGCGTAGAGAGAGGACGAACTGAAGAGGAGAGAGGCGCAACATGTAAAGAAAGAACAAGAGCTATTCGCTGAGTCGAAGGTCCAGGAGGAACGATTTGCGAAGCAAAACGAACTGAATAGAAGGGAGGCGGACCATGTGAAGAGTCAACAAAAGTTCATAGCCAGACGAGAGAAAGATTTTTCACAGCGCGAGGAGGAAATGAATAGGAGGGAGAAGTATCTGTAGGAGCATTTTGCGCAGGGAGAGGAGGAACTGAAGAGACGGGAGGCGCAACATGTGAAGAAGGAACAAGAGTTTTTGGCTGACTCGAAGGTTTTGGATGAGCGTTTTACGAAGCAAGAGGAACTGAATAGGAGGGCGGCGGAGCATGTGAAGACTCAACAAGAATTCGTATTAAGACGAGAGATGGATTTTGCACAGCAGGAGGAAAAAATGAATAGGAGGGAGGCAAACCTTATGAAGAAGGAACAAGAGTTCGAAGCAAGACGAGAGCAGGTGTCAACAGCGAACTCATCGGAGACTGCGAGGATAGATCAGAAATTGACCTTTCCGTTGGAGGGGGAACTGAATAGGAGGGAGGCGGAGCTTGTGAAGCAGGAACAAGAGTTCAAAGCAAGACGAGAGCAGGCGTCAAAAGCGAACTCATCAAAGGCTGCAAAGATGGATCAGAAATTGACCTTTCCGTTGAACAAACCAGCGGGCGTAGACGACGATGCTGATATGTGCGCGATGGGAGGTGTTGGAGAGAGCTAATGCTAAAATAAAGATCTCACAGTGCAACGGTCCCCATCCATGTTCACATGTTTCAACATCACGGGGAAGTTTTCATCATGTGCTGAAACGTTGTTCGGACGGAGTTTCGGTAAGAAGAAATCAGTAGGGAGGAGGAGCTTCGGTAAGAAGATAACACCACAAGAGAGCATATTCTTTAACAAATCACCACATAAGGCAGCGGCAACAATTAGAAGAAAAGGTGGCAGCCCCCCAAGGAGTGGAAAGAAGGGAGCATCCGAAGCAGAGGTTGCAGCAGCCCGGGGATTGAAAAGAGATGTACAGAACATTCAGGTATGGAGCAAAGCTTCAACAAAACAGAGGAGGAGAAGGGAAGTATGTCTCCTGATCACAATTGCGCTACGAATTTGGAGAATAAAAGATTGTATCGCTACAGAAAAGTTAAAAGGAGATACATGAATTTCTTCATTACTAAGACTGTGACAGTTGACAACGAAGTTCAGAAGAGTGCACCTGAAGGCGGGGAAGCGCAAAAAAGGGAGTGAACAACATAAATTATTAATGTTATACCTGCCACTTGGAAGGACCTGCTGTCCACTGAGGCCTGAGCCCCACGAGGCACCTGGTACATCCCGCAAGCTACTTCCAATGAATTGGACCTCTGGAAACTGATGGGGTCAGAGGACAACAACAATGTTAGGTGGAGAAGGATTGAATAACACTGGATACAGCAGGAACAACCAAAATTGTCTCATCCTATGGGCACAATGCATCAGATGAGAGTATTCAAAACCTGTAAAGAGGACGAAATCATAACTATCTGCCTATGGCACCAAGGCACATCCATTAGAGATTTGAAGTTGGACCGAGCGACTGGGGTTGGAAAGAATGTAGGAGGGTGGAGATTCGCTTCCTCTTATTCTGCTACGACCCTGGTTTCAGCTATCAGCATCTAGCCCCAACCCGCACCCCACAACAGGTGGCATGCGCCCGCTTGTCCTAGTTCCTGCTGGTGGCTGATCAAAATGACTTTGTAGAGGCCATGTGCCGGCTATGGGAACATCTATGCTTACTATCCTCTCGGAGAGGCACAACCATTTTGTGGTTGTTATCCCTTTGACTAGGCTTCTAACCACCCCTCGGCTATGTGGCTTGTTAGCAGAGGAATGGAGTTGCAGCTCTCCTTTACCAGATGTTCTTGGCTCTTTGAATCTACGAGTCATGGTAGGACTGCCCAGCCTCCAAGAGGATCTGAAAATGGTTCAACGGGCAATAACTTTGCAGAATGAAAGTTTGTATGGTATAAGGAGCGAACTCTTTTGGGTTTTGTTCCTAGAAACAAATCTATTACATCTGGGTGGGGTTATGTTGAACAGGTATGCATGACAATCATCATGCTGCTGATCGGGATGCTGAGGAGCAGGTTGGTTTTTTAAAAGATGGGTATGTCTGTGGAAACAAAAAGTTTGGTAGGATCCCACCTCCGCCATCACATTATGGAAGACTAGTCAAGGAAGAGGCTGAAAGGAGGAAAGTCTAGACTGAGATGGTTTAAAAAGACTTGGTCTTAGTGTAGAAACACGTGCAAGTTGGCGAGGGTGGAATCCGGAAAGAAGTTGAAGGTTTGTCCAAAGTTAATAGTGGTAGTGTAATTATCAGGACACTCGGTTTTACTGTCGCCGTAGACAGGCCATGGGTGGAAGACTGGTTTTAAAAATGGTTGGTATGAGAGGGCTGGCCATTTGGTTTTGGGAATTAAGCCAGAGTTTTCACTCTGGTCGATTAAGCCAGAGTTTTCAGGGAGTCAGCCTAATGGATAGCAGTCAGGGTATGGACGAGCAGATGGCTCAGTTGAATCAGCTAGCCTCACGGCTAGGTTGTTGGATCGGACGTCCAAGACCCCCGTGACCGTCCGGGATGTCCGACCGGACGTATGGTCGGACGTCCGACCTAGCGCAAATAATAAAAAATAAAAATAAAAAATTCTTTGAAAAATCTGAAAAAATATATGTTATGTAGCATAACAATACAAATTACTTTTACCTTGGACTCATGTTCAAATTCGCAGTCAATCATGAGTTAAAAATCAAAAACCGAAATACATATATATATATATATATATATTTTTACGAAAAAAAAAAGATTGTTTTTCAGGACGACGAGGGTACCGAACGTATGGGGAGACGTCCGGGGGAGACAACCGGCCCCCGCCCGGACCATTGGTAACCTATCTTCACGGTTTGATTACGGGCTTCGGGCCCACTAACGGGGTCTCCTCCCAGAGACAGCTAAGCCTTTATCCAGGTTCGTTGTGTTTTTTTTTTTTTTTTTGGGGGGGGGGGATCAAGAAATGTTGTTCATTCTATTTTACTTTTTTTTTTTTTTTTCCAGAGATGGATCGAGACCGAGGACCTAATAATTCAACCCCGGGTTTCTAAAAAACAATTTTTGTTGTGAAATGGAATTCCACCGTAAGGAAGCCTGAACCGCCTAGACAGGTTTCTCACCTTGCATCATTGGATCTTGAATAAGAGCAACAATCAATGAAGAGCATCACCATGGATACAGTTCAAATTTGATTTTTTGTCCCCCTTCAGCTGACAACAAGTTTACAGCGCTCTCACCACTAACGGTGGCACTCATACTGCTTCCGTAGTGCCACGGCCTGTAGATGCTAAGTCACAAGTAGGGGACACAGAAAGTGTTTTCCATAATTATTTCAATCCAACAAACTAATCACAAACACGACAGTTAAGAGAATGATATGAAGTGCTAATATGATGACTCATTGACTATCAGATAATTCGGCCTTCAGTACGGCCTGTCCTGAAGATGTGGGCGGATACACTACCCTAATTTCACTCGTCGACCAGACCCAGGGCTTCAAAGAGTCAATCCAACAAAGACAGAATGACCCTGCTGTAAGTTTTGCACCTAAATACTACCAACATCTAACCAATCAAGATATGCTACCTATTATGAGACTCATCCTCATACAAATCCTACAGGAGTATCAGCAGAAGCTTAATGAATTCGTCGTTACACACTGGCAAGTACATCGAAACAAACAGCAAACAGTTACCAAAGCTCAAACAGTTACCGAAGCTCAATAGGCGATGTAGCAACTAGTCACTACTAAAATGAAAAACTAGAATCAATTCATGACGAAGACCCCTGAAGAGTCCGGCGCTGGCGGCTAGACGAAATATTTAGGGTCGACCGCTAGTTTGCTTGACATGTGCGTATCGGTATGGGCGTGCTGCCTGCTTACGGTTCGAGCCTGATGGGTTGTTTTGTTCTTCATGTTCATTTTAATTGTCCATCCTGTCGCGTTCGGGAGCGATAACTTGTGTGTCCACTATCCCTCTCCTTGTCTTCCTCCTCCTCGTTCTTCTTCATTTTCTTCTTCTTCTTCCTTCCCTTCATATTGGTGTACTCTACATGTCTTATGATGCGTCGGTCTCCTCTGTCACGACTATTTGGCTGAAGTTCATTGGGACGGGTCAATGCTTTGAACCTTGTTTGGATGTGCGAAGAAACTTCGAACCTACCGATGGGAGAGGAGCATCAGTGTTGGTCACATGCTTGCCGCAACCAGTGGAAAGAGACCATCTGCATAATTAGAATTGATGGCTAACTCAGCGGAGCCCAACCGCAACGCGCAGTTAAAGGAAGTTTATGAAGACTTGACTAATGTATTTGCTGAGTGGACGGACAAGGAGGAGCATTTTCCGCAGTCCGAGGTGGATCTGAATAGGAGGGAGGCGGATCATGAGAAAATGGTACAAAAATTATGGGCTGAGTGGAAGGTCCTGGAGGAGGAAATCACACAGGAAAGCAAGAACTGAAGAGGGAGAAGGCGGAGCATATGAAGAAGGAAGAAGAGTTAGTGGATGAACGCAAGGAGTTGGAGGAGCGCTTGGCTCAGTGAGAGGAGAGACAATAAGAGAGAGACGGATCATGAGAGAGAGGACGAACTGAAGGGGAGAGAGACGCAACATGTAAAGAAAGAACAAGAGCTATTGGCTGAGTCGAAGGTCCTCGAGGAGCGTTTTGTGAAACACGAGCAACTGAATAGGAGGGAGGCGGAGCATGTGAAGAGTCTACAAAAGTTCGTAGTGAGACAAGAGCAGGATTTTTCACAGCACGAGGAGGAAATGAATAGGAGGGAGGAGTATCTGGAGGAGCATTTTGCGCAGGGAGAGGAGAAAATGAAGAGAAGGGAGGCGCAACATGTGAAGAAGGAACAAGAGCTATTGACTGAATTGAAGGTCCTGTAGGAGCGTTTCACGAAGCAAGAGGAACTGAATAGGAGGGAGGCGGAGCATCTGAAGACTTAACAAGAGATCGTAGCAAGACGAGAGCAGATTTTTCACAGGGGGAGGAAAAACCGAATAGGAGAGAGGCGAATCTTGTGAAGAAGGAACACGAGTTTGAAGCAAGACGAGAGCAGGCGTCAAAAATGAACTTATCGGAGACTGCGAAGATAGATTAGAAATTGACATTTCCGTCAGAGGGGGAATTGAATAGGAGGCAAGCGAAGCTTGTGAAGCAGGAACAGGAGTTCAAAGCAAGACGAGAGCAGGCGTCAAAAGCGAACTCATCGGAGGCTGCGAAGATGGATCGGAGATTGACCGTTCCGTTGAACAAAGCAGCAGGCGTAGACGACGATGCTGATATGGGCGAGATGGAGGTGTTGGAGAGAACTAATGCTGAAATAAAGATTTCATAATGCAACGATCCGCATCCATGTCCACATGTCTCAACATCACCGGGAAGTTTTCATCATGTGCTAAAACATTGTTCAGACGAAGCTTCGGTAAGAAGAAATCACAACGGAAGAGGAGCTTCTGTAAGAAGATAACACCACAGGAGAGGATATTCTTTAAGAAATCACCACATATTAAGTCAGCGGCAACAATTAGAAGGAAAGGTGGCAGCCCCCCAATGAGTGGAAATAAGGCAGCATCCGAAGTAGAGGTGGCTGCAACCCGGGGATTGCAAAGAGATGCACAGAACATTCAGGTGTGGAGCAAAGCTTCAGCAA